GGAGGGATTGCAGTTGGATGTCAATACGCAAAGAAGAACTCCTTCAGAAAGAGGGAAACTGGAAGGCAAAGTCCTCAGAGTGGCACAGTAAGTCAGCCTTGGTGAAATGTCATCAAGATGTTTTTTAAATAAATGAATAGCTATGACCACCTACTATAGGTCAGACCTTTCCTGGGACTTTGGAAATATGATGAAGAGTAGTCGTTTTTTTTTTTAAGAGTTATTTGTTTGAAAGTCAGAGTTACACACAGAGAGGAGAGGCAGAGAGAGAGAGAGAGAGAGAGAGATAGAGAGAGACAGAGAGAGAGGGGTCTTCCCTCTGCTGGTTCACTCCCCTGTTGGCCGCAATGTCTGGAGCTGCGCTGATCTGAAGCCAGGAGTCAGGAACTTCTTCCGGGTCTCCCACGCGGGTGCAAGTGCCCAGGGACTTGGGCCATCTTCCACTGCTTTCCCAGGCCATGGCAGGGAGCTGGATCGGAAGAGGAGCGGCCAGGACTCAAACTGGCGCCCATATGGGATGCTGGCACTGCAGGCTGTGGCTTTACCCGCTATGCCACAGTGCTGGCCCTGAAGAGCAGTCTTTACTCTTAAGGAAACATGTAAGAGTTTTAGCTGAATCAGAGGCATACAGAAAATGGACACACACGAGTAAAATTTTTACCTGACTCTATGTCCTAATCAACATGATCCCATAGTAATATTCTGTAATCATGATGAAAGTAAGGAAAATGAGAACACTTAAACACTTTGATTTTAAAGTCTACCAGGGATTCAAGGTTCTGCCATCCTGACAACTGGTCACTGGATCAGAATACTTGCACTGTGTGAGTGCTGGGGCCAAACAGCAGAGAACAGGAACCACCCACCCTACTCTCCAGCTATAAGGGAAATTTTTATGAGCACACTGTGGGTCACTGGGGATGTTTCCATTGAGGGAAGGTGTGGCATTAGCATAGACTCACGCAGTAATTATGTTTAATGGTTCACTGGCATGTTTGCAGGTTTTTGTGTGATTTGTGTCATCTTAGAGTATGGGTTAACTGAAAATGGGAAATTTGGCAAATTCACTTTTGAAGCTCCTTTTCAATTCCTTGATTTTAGAATTTAAAATCCATCCCATGCCATTTCTATTCTATTTCTAAATTATATAACACATTATAAAAGATTAGATAAATAAATTATTATTTCCTGACTAGTTGAAATAAAACATTTTTCATAAGAGAAAACTGACTGAATTATCTGATTTCGTTTAGTCCTTATGTAATCTGTTTTTTGTTTTTTTTTTTTTTTTTACCAGAATAGAGTTAGATGGGATACTTGAAGGCATGCTGCTTCTTGCTACTGTGTTTCCTACTTAGCTTTTCCAAGCTGAACGTATATTCAATTAGGTTATGTTGCACCATCAGATCATTGGCAGTTAGGTCTTGGATGGTGTGTAGTTTGTTTTAACAACCAGTATTTGAGACCAGACCATTATACCAGGCCAGCACAGACATGCTTCTCATTAGCCCATCCATTTTAAAGGGAAACACACTGTATGCTGAGCTAACTGAATTTCCACTCACTGAAGTTTGCATCAAAATCAGCCTGAAAATGGCCTCAAGGGGACCTCACTTCAGATTTTATTAAAGTTCATCAACTACATATTATGCAGATACATAAAAATAGATTAACAATCATAAAGTATGACTCATGTTTATTACCTTGAAGAGTAATTGCATAAAACTAAAAAAAAATGAAGCATTGCTAAACCTTAATAAAGTTGAAGAGAACTACTTCCTCTGTCAAGCAGGGCAAAAATAGAATTTTGGGGAAGATGCCTCATTATACCTATTAGCTGAGCTATTATCACAGGAAATGTTGATGATTTTAAGAAAATGAGAGTCAAAATTAAATCCAGAAGAATGATCATACTTACATAATCTTTTGTCCTTTGTGGTTAAAAACCAGGTGATATGTTATTTTGCAGAAAATGCCCAAATATTTGTGGACAAATGATTTCAATCCAATATAAAGAAATCAAACCATGAACATACTGATGTCCATGTACACACTAGGAGCTAAATTATGCATCCACCTCAACAGAATTCCTGTTGAAGATCGCTCCCTATTGTCTCAGAATGTGACTCTACTTGGAGATAGGGTTTTTTTTTTTTTTCCAGAAATAATTAAGTTAAAAAGAAGTCATTAGGGTAGGACCTAAGCAGTATGTCTGGTCCTAATTCAATAAGAAGAGAAATTTTGGACACAGACACGCTGATGGAACAAGATAGGAAGACACAAGGAAAAGATGGCCATCTGTAAGTCACAAAGTGCGACACGGGACACAGCCTTCCCTCATAGCTGTCAGAAGGAAAAATCACCCTGCAAAAACCACTCTCTGTTGTTCAACCATCTTCTCTATTCCACTTTGCTAGAACAAGCCTAACAAACTACATAGGAATACCTGAAAATGAGCTGTCTTTCTATCATTTGGTCTCCATCTTTTAAAAGCAGGTTCAAGCCCTGTTCACTGCTAATATTTGCATGGCTGGGAGAAAGAGAACAAATGTCCACATAACACTCAAGAAAGAGAAAATGCTAATTAATTTACCAAAGCACGCTTTAAGCTAACATGAATAAGATAGATTGTCACACAAGAAGTATTTTCTCTAGTAATGTAACTATTAAACAATTATAAATCAAGCTAACAAATTGTTAAATATAAACGTCTTATCCTTTTGTGCTTAACATAGTTTTATAATGACAATAATTTAAATATATATTCAACTATGGTTTTAATATGACTGAAAGCAGGCAAAATGCCAAGTAAATGAATTTATTATTGTGCAGCCATGGGTATTCTGCTGATGAGTTGGCAAAGTTTGAGGTAATAAAATAAAGACATACGTGATACATAAATTGTTATATATGTATTCCATCAAGCTTATTTTGACTTCATTTCAGCATAACTACTAACTGTATTAGCATAATTAATATTTTATCTAATATATGTTCTATTGTAATTGTTAGGAATAGAGGTGCAGAATAGAGAGGAGGCAGTATACGAACCAACAGCCACACCAAATTTATTCAGAGAAAATAAATTCATAGAGGTGGGTGACCAACTGCTGGTGTGCACATTGCTGGAACACATGGCAGAAGGCCTCGACCCCAGGGGCTGGGCCTTTTTATATTTTTGGAGGGCTAGAGATGGGGTGGGGATGGAGTATTTGGTGGAGGTGAGTGCCTGTAACTGGTCTTTCAGGTGGCCTTGGTGGGGCTTCGCTTGGGAACCTGGGAAAGAATGCAGGGATGTGAAAACAGTAAGGTGTGAGACTCAACTGAGACTCAAGGGCAAGGAATAAATTTCAATGTCTATCAATCTTCTGGGCAAAGAGTGAGAATGGCTGAGAGGCTTATGTCTTTGTTCCATCGGTAATTAATTTTAAGGTGTACATATTTGAATTTAAGGTATACAAATAAATTTTCAAAGTATATCTACTTTGAATTCACTATTGTAAGAAACATTGATTAACTAGAATGTAGAAAAATAAATTATTTTTATAGTTTTCTAAATTATTCCTATTAAAATATGACTAAACTTTAAAAATAGAAACCGTAAGTAAACATTATTCAAATCTAACATTTTTGAATGCTTAATTCAATATGTTTAAAGTGTGACTTTGTAATTCTCAGGTTTAATGTTCACCTAGTTGACCAAGTAAAGAGTGTCATAGTTAATGCATGTCTCATTTAGATATAGATGGTAAGGTAGATAGAAAGAACAGAAGAAACAAATAGAAGAATATGTAGACATATGTAGACATGAATAGTTTAATATTGCAAAGTGTTACTCAAATGACAAGTAAAACTGGGTGAATGCTGTGTTAATTCACACACAATTTGTGTCATGAATTTGTTCCACAAATTACCTCAACACTACTGGGGGACTTTTTTTTTTTCAATTATGCAGCAAATTGTTTCATTTATTCTATTTGAGAGAAAATATTTGACAAATGAGTCAGTTTTCTCTTTTTCTTAACCCTTTCTATCACATATACCCTGCTCTCTCAGAACTGCTGTCCATCAACCCACGGATTCATGGCACTCATATACAGACTTTTGTCTTTCGCTCAGAGGATGTAGGGCAATAAATTAGGAAAAGCATGTCCTTGGGGATTGATTTGTGTTAGTAACAGAGTAGATGTTAACAGGTTGTGTTGTGGAGACATTGAATGCCAGACCCTGAGTTATGGAAGTCCTTGGATACTCATTAATAAATATAAAGGACTTCAGAGAGATCAATGGAATTAAAATATGTTTTGGTGCAAAAATTTTTTGAATTACACACATAATGTTTACATAATATCCCTTTTCCATGAACTTTCTGAAGAATCTTTGAACATGTATGTCTGTGTATGGTATATATTTATATTATTTTAATTAAAAAGTAAAATATTTAAAATGAGCACTGTTCATCAATGATAATTATATTTTGAAATGATTCTCTGCCTGTAATGAATTTGGTTGGTGCTGGAGATTGCTACTGAAGCTTTCAGATAATTTTATTACATTTAAAAAATAGGAGAGACACAGGAAAATCTACCAGAGTTACTCAATCCCCCGTCACTAGTACTTCCTTGTTCCTCTCTTCTGAAAGTTTAAGGTATACGTCTTTAGAGAACATTACTCAGCAGAAGATTTCTCTATTGTTTCTTGTTACCACCGTAACATTCTGTACCCTTCCCTTTCTGATGTAATAGATGTAAGTTTGTCCACAATGGACAACTTAAGGTATTCTTGTCTTAGAATGGCAAAGTGTAGTATACTTGCAGTGGGACAAATTGATGTTGTAGGTTCTAATATCTTTATTTATTTTTTAAAAAACAAAATGTATTTTAGAAAGAGAGAGAAAAAGAGAGAGAGAAGAAGGGAGAGAGAGAGGGAGGGAAGGAGAGAGAGAGAGAGAGAGAGAGAGAGAGAGAGAGAGAGAAAAGAGAGAGAATGTTTCATTCACTGGTTCACTCTTGAAAGTGTAAAATGGTCAGGGCTGGTCCTTGGCCAAACCCAGGAACTGCAGCTCAATCCAGGTCTCCCACATGAGTGGCAAAAAACCGTCTACTTGAATCATCACCTGCTGCCTCTCACGGTCTGCAGTAGCAGGAAGCTGAAGCCTGGAACTGGAGCTGGGAGCTGAATGCAGATATTCCACCTCTATGGGATATGGACATCCTAACTGGTGTCTTAACCACTGAACCAAACATCTGCCCCTCGGTCTCTTTAGTTTTACATTTTTGTTGACAATAACTACCACCTGATTCCTGTCCCTCACATCTTGGCTCAACCCGGTGAGCATTATACTTGCAGGCTGTGTTCAGGATGCACTCCCATGGGTACTCTTTTCTCCTGAAAGAAAAATCACTCATGGCAACCACAGCATTTAAAAGGCTTACAATAAATTATTTTCCACTTAGTAGTCCTAATATTTAGGATTCAGAAAACCAATTAATGCAGTTTACTGAAAAAGAAAGGGAATTAGGTTGGATTAGGACACAAATTCAATGCAATTTTCTCTCTTCAGCTGGTAGTGAGAAAGAAAAACAAGCTTAATCTGTGGCTACTGACAGACCCACAACCTGCCCATATAGAATATAAATTTTCTGTCTTCCCCAGGCCTTCGTTCTAATACAGATCTGGTAAGTGTTATGAAATGTTCAATATCTCATTGTCCTTTTTTAGAACCCAAATTAGAATCTGTTAATATTTTAGGACTTTTGGGTTTTTGCTTAAGCTGTCCTTTTGATCTTGCAAGTTTGATGAGCACGATATCTTTTACATGACTTTTAGATGAACCCTTACCTCTGACTCTCCTTTCTATCACTCAGGAAATATTTTATAAAAAGTGAAAATTACAAAAATTATGAAAACAGCTCAGATTATTTTATCACTATTGTTTTTAAAATACAGTGACTAAAAAATTGGCATATTTTGTCACAACACAACTTGTGACATTGACTAGACTCCAATTTCTACATGGTGCACCTGAGTGTCCAAAAGATTCATTCCTGTCTTCTGATGTCTCTGAAAAAAAAAAAAGGGTCATCATAATCACAGAGGCTTTTTTTTTGCAAAAATAATATCTTCATTCCTTCTAAGCATGACTGAACATTTATACAGCATATACTGTTATGAAATATTGCAAATTACCAGTTCAGGACCCTTAAATTATTTACTCGTTTGATGCAGTCACAACTATAACAACAACAAAACCCAAACACTGCAGGGCAACAGGTGTTTAAATGAGCCTGGAGGGAAATGCATCTATCCCAATGTCATTACATGTCATGGACACATTATTTATATGTTTTTCTTCCTGGTCTGGAGGTACAGCAAGCACCTGCACCCCACAGATGATGCTTTTCACAGGGTGCTTCTACAGTCTGGATAGTTTTGGACAAAACATCCAAGCATTGTGGCTGTCACCTCCTTTATAGACATCATATATATAAACACTCTTTAATATAAAAACAAAGATCTAGAGCTACAGACACCCACTTTCTTCATTACCTTTTCTAAATCTAAATGTCTACTTGCAAATAACATCTGTATATCCTGCAGTTCACCTCCTTCCCATCCTCATCCCCTTAATGCTTTGTGACTCACTAGTACCAGGTTGGACTGCCGCCTACTACATATTTTCCCAATGTATCATAATGACTAAAAGACCCATACTGTATAACTTGATGCAGGTTTTTCTTGTGATAAAAATCGAATGTGCTAACAATCCTTAAAATCTCTCATTTCCTTCCCCAAATATAACGGTTTGTGATCTTTACATCAAAGTCTGCAGCATGAAGAAGGTAAGACCATTCTGAAAGGGTTATAAAACAATTCTCTAACTATGGTAAATGAAGATCCATATTATTCTTTTCTTCCTGATATTAAGATTTCTCCCCCTGCACTGGAATACTTTTTAAAAAAGATGTTTAGTATAAGTGTGGTCTTCAGCGCTTCTTGTAGGAGCTGACATGAACCGTATTTCTTTTTAAGAAACAAATGTAATAAAGGGAATAGCAGAGTAAAATATCGCTGAGTGCGGGGGACATGGATCACAGCTGTGAGCTGTGTGCTTCCATTTCCCTTTCCAAAGTATGTACATGTACTTATTCTACTTTGTTACTCATTAGGAAGTGTCAGTAACCACGTGTTTGGCAAAGGTGTGCATGTCCTTCCCAGGTTCCTTGGGCTCTGAATGATACTCTTACTAGCTCCTCACTGCTCAGGGCTGTGGGGGTTGGCTGATAGAAGGATTTGGGGGAATGTGGTCAATAGTACATTGAAGAAGCATCAAGGGTTGGATCGATCAGGAATTTTTTCAGTTGCTTATGTCAAAGCAACTTGGGATTCTGACTCTCTCAGTGGGTTTATTTTTTACTGATGCTGATGAATTTTCTCTCTGTGTGGCAGGAACTCCAGAGTCACATTCCTCCAGCTTCCTAATTTGAGTAGAAAGGAATTCTTTATCTTCCAGTTCTAGTAAGTAGATTTCTTGTTACTTTAAGTTTCCTGAGCCAATTACTCACACCCCCTAACTTCCTGGGTTTTAGATGAAAGAGAATGAACAACAAAAACTGTTAGGACACTGGGATTGGTGGACAAAGTCAACCACTTCCGAACAATGGACTGAATATGGAACTTCTGTGGTCTTTCACCCTCTGGTGGAAACAACCCCAGCCAAAATTCCTGTCGTAGATTCTGGGTATGGTACCTGGATTTCATGTAGCTTGACCAGCCCTCTAAGAGGACTGCCACTAATTCTCCAGATGGTAGCAACTTTCCCTTCCAACTTGTGCTTACGCTAGGAAAGCTCCCCAGGCAGTTGGCAATACAAATATCTCAACCACTTCAGGAGCCACCTATGAAGGTTCTCATCTGAGCCCGACCCAAGATGGCAGAAGCAGATAGACAGCAAGGTGTATTCCTTTCCTCAAATGTAAGTCTATAACCACCTAGACTTCTACAGCATAAAAAAAAAAAAAAAGTGCACCTAACTTCCTAGTTTCACAGGGGGATTAGAGGCCAGCTTTGTGCATTCCGTGGCTGACAGAAGTGAGAGATAGGGAGATATTTTGGTCAGGCTTGTCTCTGGAAAGTAGATATTACAGATCCTAATTTTGCATGGCAGCAAGAAAGAGTAAAGAAGACCATTTTAAGAAATAGGTGGCCGGTGCTGCGGCTCACTAGGCTAATCCTCCACCTTGTGGCACTGGCACACCGGGTTCTAGTCCCGGTCGGGGCGCAGGATTCTGTCCCGGTTGCTCCTCTTCCAGGCCAGCTCTCTGCTGTGGCCTGGGAGTGCAGTGGAGGATGGCCCAAGTGCTTGGGCCCTGCACCCCATGGGAGACCAGGAGAAGTACCTGGCTCTTGCCATCGGATCAGCGCAGTGCACCGGCCACAGCGCACTGGCCGTGGTGGCCATTGGAGGGTGAACCAACGGCAAAGGAAGACCTTTCTCTCTTTCTCTCTCTCTCTCACTGTCCACTCTGCCTGTCCAAAAAAAAAAAAAAAAAAGAAGAAGAAATAGGTACCCATAAGGTAGGCATGGAAAAATTATAACTGGGCTCCCTCCAACACCGACTTCTTATGGGGGAGTAGATTTTCTTTTTCCTTCAGATTTCTTTTTCCTTTCCCTTTAACAAGGAAGAGAATTGATTAACACAGGTCACAGGCTTATCCCTCAGCACAAATTGAGACTAGAATGACCACATACTGTGATCGACCCAGCCCAGGACAAATGATGATGCTAATGCCTGCATGGGCACCACAGGGCTTCTACCAGAAGCAGAGTAGAGGATTCTTAGAGCTCAAACATTACAACCAACTATCATTGTGAGTCATCCAGCCACTACGATAGGGACGTACAGTAAGGTAGCCTGCTGATTTGAAAATTTGACAAAGAAGTCAAGATTTGGTAGCTAACAGATACCAAAATGAGTAACAGATTATAAGAAATATTACCAAAGGAAAGCATTAAGGACTTGATCCAAGACTTTTTTTTTAAAGTATTTATTTATGTGAAAGGCAGAGTGATAGAGACAAGGAGAGATAGAGAGATATCTTCTATCTGCTAGTTCACTCCTCCAGTGTCCACAACAGCAAAGGCTAGATCAGGCCAAAGCCAGGATCCAGAAACTCCAGGTTTCCCACATGGGTGGAAGGGACCCAAGTACTTGGGACATCACCTGCTGCCTCCCAGGTGCATTAGCAGGAAGCTGGATCAGAAGCATGAGCTTAAACCATGCATTCCAATATGCAGTGCATACATAACCTGCTGGACTACAATGCCTTTCCTATGTTTATAACTTTTAAGCCCTTCAAATGCTTTAAGAATATAAAATTCTATGGGACAGGTGATTGGTGCAGGGTTAAGTGGCCACTTGGGATGCCCATAAACCATATAGGAGTGCCTGATTCAAGTCTTCACTACTCTGCATCAGATACAGCTTTGTGCTAATGCACGCAGCAGGCTTAAGTGCATGGGTCCCTTTCACCCATGTGGGCCATCTGGATTGAGTTTCTGAGCTCATAGTCAGTTTGGTCCAGCCCTGGCTATTTGAACATCTGTGGAGTGAATCAGTGGATGGAAATTGTCTATCTGACTTTCAAATAATTTTAAAAAAGGAAAACAGAAAAATGAATAAAATGCAAATAAAGTCTGGAGAAAGCATAAAGGAAGGGATTTATGAAGCGATTTCTTTGGGGGGAGAGTTTCTGTTTTGCTGCTGTGTGTCTGCACCTCACACTCCAAGAGGGCATAGACTTCAACCTTCATAGGTAACTCCTGAGGCAGTGGAGATATTCGTAGTGCCCACTGCCTGGGGATCTGTCTTAGTATAAGTATAGGCTGGAAAAGAAAAGTGTTGTTATTTGGGGAATTAGTGGCAGTCCTCTAAGAGGCCAGGTCAAAGCTACATGAAATCCAGGTCCCTGTTAGGAAATTTGGCTGGAGTTGTTTCTATCAAAGGATGAAAGATGATAGAAATGAGAGCTCGTATGGGGTGAGCATTAGGAAGCTAGAAGTGGCAGGAGATTGGGGATATTTTGCAGAAGAAAATGCCCTATCCCCGGGCAGCTGGAGCCAGACCGGGGCCAGTCTTCCATCCTGTTTGCCTGTATTCAGTGTCTGTCCTTTGCAGGAGGGTTATAAACCTCCGCTGTGAGGAGCTCAGCGTGGCCAGCTGACGGGAGTAGGGGTTCTGGGTGTCTCCTGTGGGCAGGCCAGAGGGGCTAGCACACACACATGACACTTTTTTCCCTGTCAGTGTCTCTCAATAACTACAATAAGCAGGGCTCTCTTGACCACCTTTGAGGTACACATTGAACCATCAGATATTAAACTTTTGAGATACTGATCGTTAGGACTTATTTTTTATTGTAGAATAATCAATACTATCCTGTCACAAGGGACATAGAATGGGAGACTCCAAAGAGCCCTGAGAAGGACCCTGTGGCCCCAGTTTAATTATCTGCCAGACACGACTCTCTCCAAGAGTGGAGCCTTGTACTGGGCGAGTAAGAATCTTCTGCAGTTCCTGCATCACCCACCTCTGCCTCCATCGTAAAAAGCCTTGGATGCTAAGGGGGAGATGTTGGACATCTCTTGGTGCTCATAATTTTGCTTATTGTCTGGATCTTAGGGGAAATGCTTCCAGCTTTTCCCCATTCAATATGATGCTGGCCATGGGTTTGTCATATATTGCTTTGATTGTGTTGAGGAATGTTCCTTCTATACTCAATTTGCTTAAGGTTTTCATCATGAAAGGATGTTGAATTTTATCAAATGTTTTCTCTGCATCGATTGAGATAACCATATGGTTTTTGCCTTCAGTTTGTTTATGTGATATATCATTGATTGATATATATATATATGTAATATATAATTGATATATATATATATATAATGTGATATAACTGATTGATTTGTGAATGTTGAGCCATCCCTGCATTCCAGGAATAGTCCCACTTGGTCCAGGTATACTATCTTTCTGATGTGTTGTTCATGAACTTAGATGCAAAAATCCTCAAACAATAACACAGCCTATTTTAAACTAAAATTTTCAACTGACTACAGAACCAAAGTTTGTTTTTAAGTGCAAATGAGTGGATGATACTTGTATCTACAATTAAAAACAAAATTAGACATTAATTTTTAAACATGGAAAGGATGATTTATTGTTTTGTTATTTAGTATATCATGTGATAGAATGAGACTAAAATGCAAAGATTTGCAGGGGGAAGAACTGACCTGGTTTTAAGCACAACATTGAGAGTATGACACCCTTTTGCAGTGTCTTATACTGAAGTGCCTTGTAATCTTGGTCGAAAACTCTAATTTTCTATGTTCCAGTTTCCTTGTCTATTAAATGACTCCACAGGCTTTTGTGAAGAGTATCTATTTAATGCCTATATAATTCTTTTATGTGTGTATATATAATTTTTTTCTATTTTTTTGAAAGGGTTACAGAGAGAAAGGGAGACACATGTGCAAGCACACACACATGCACACACACACACAATTAGAGAGAGACAGAGACAGAGACAGAGAGATGTTTCCTTTGCCAATGAAGATGGCAGATCATATTCCTAAATAGGGGATATCATATCATTTATAGTCCCAGAACTTTTTAAAGTATACTTTGAAAAACTGAATATTTCGCTTACCCTCCACACGGATGATTTTGCATTGATTAGGTTAATTCAAAACTAAGAACATGCATGCATGTTTGTAATAATACAAAGACTGGTAAAAATGTCAAAGAACTTATATAATAATTACTTTATTTAAACTACAGAATTTCAGGTTAAGAAAAAACCTTAGCCAACACCTGGTTTAGTTTAATTTTCTTCCTTTTCCTCATTTTGTCATCTGAGGTCATGGAAAGGCTCAGTGATTTTTATTTTTTATTTTTTTTTAGTTATCACAGAAAGAACTCATCTAATACACTAATAAGTCTTCTGAGAGAGGTAGGGGATTTCTCTCTTTTCTAGATGATTAATCTGGTCCACACTATTTTGTGGTGTTTTGGACAAAAGTCTCAATCTGAGGTTAAGAAAAAGAGATAGTGAGATGAGTTGGCTTGAAAGTGGACTGTGGACAGGGTTGGCAGAGGAAACCCAGGGGTTTTATTCTTAATTCTGATGTTCTTTCCACTCTATTTAGGTGCAGTTAATCCTTCCAGTCCTAGCAGGCTCCCAAATTAAGGTTTACACTGTGTAGCCTGCAGTTTAGGTTTCTATCTCCTATCTCAGCGCTGCTAGAGTTTGACAGGAAAAATAAATGACTTTGTCTGGGTCAGCACTAGAGAGTAAAATCCCTCACTGCTGTGAAATGACTTTCAGTCCAACCAGAGACAGATCTGGAATGCAGAGGCTTGCTGTGTGTTGAGCATATAGTTGAGGGACAATTGGATGTCTTGAAACTGTATGTCAAGTTTCCAGCACCTCTCTTTGAATCTGTGTCTGAGATCCAGAGGGAAAAGAGCTAAGAGAAATCAGCTGTAGAAGCAACAATAATAACTAGGCTGTAGTCTCTTGATGAAGATGAAAAGACTGTTGTGTGGAGGCTCAGGCTGGTATGTGAAATAAGCTTCTGCTGCTCTCTTGGGTGCAGAGTATTGGCCAGAGTGGAGAAGAGAGAAGCATTTTGATGTGTGTGGTTACTCTAGTGTTGATTGGGCCTTGCTCCTAGTCTGCCAGGTACTCGTAGGAATGCATAGGCAGGAATCATACATGGCTCACCACGGGTGGAAACCACTGCAGCCAGGAAGCGAGGGTGTCCAGGGGAAAACATGGGGTAGAAGTCTATGGAACAGAATACAGACTATCCTGCCTCCTTACTCCTACTTTGATAAAAAGAGAGGGATTTTGAAGGATTTAGTTTTAGTAGTGTAGCTTTTAGGATTTTTAGGATTGTAGTTTTGATGATTTAGTAGGAGGAAGGGACTCCCAAACACAGCTTCTCCATATTTGCACAACCATGTAGTGCTAGGAGCCTGGTAACGTTTCCAGGGATGCTGATGTGGGTGTTGTGCTCATGCTGATAAGGTGGTAAAATGAAGTTTATTTTCATTCATCAGCAGAAATTTCACTTAACAAAAGTTGTTTTAAAAAATGCACTTACCCACTCTTGCATCTTTCATGGAATCTTGTGATAAAGGCTGGAGATGAGCAGTCAAGAAATGAAGGTTTAATGTTCTTCAGGCTCCACCACAGCTCCTCATCACAGGTGATCCTACCCTTGGTCGACCTTTCCATCAATTAGTTTTTGGCTGTCAAACTCCAAATCCTCTTTAGTGGAACCTAGCGTAATGGATGTTGTGTATGAGGGTACGTCCAATCTTGGAAAAATAGAAATAAAATATGTGTTTATTGTTGTGCAAAATTTTTTTGGAATTCTTGCTTGTTTTTTTAATAACATGCATTTTCATGAAGGTTTTGAAGACATATTGTCTGCATGGATTTCAAAATGTCTGCATCAAAATAAAGTCGTCTTTTAATTCCACTTTCTATGAGCTTCTTGAAGTACCATTATACTTGTGGGTAGAAGACTAGGATGAAGATTGAATGTTGGAGACTGTGGGACATAGAAAGGGGAACTAGAAAATAGATGAATGACAAAGAGGGAGGTGCCTTTCTCTGAAGGGAGGAGAGAACCTCCACTTTGACTATGACCTTGTCTAAACAAGATAAGAGTCGGAGAACTCAAGGGGCTTCCATAGCCTTGGAAACTCATGACTGGTGCATAGGGAGATTACTGATGCCATAAACAGGAGTGTCAATTTGTAAAGTCAACAACAGGAGTCACTGTGCACTTACTCCTCATGTAGGATCTCTGTCCTTAATGTGCTGTACACTGAGGCTTAATGCTATAACGAGTACTCAAACAGTATATTTCACTTTGTGTTTCTATGGGGGTGCAAACTGTTGAAATCTTTACTTAATGTACACTAAACTGATCTTCTGTTAAAAAAAAAAAAAAAAAGAAACTATCAATTCCCAACTTGACTCTCACTGGGATTAAACATGACAATAGGTCTGATCTGATTTCATCATCATTTAAAAAAAAATCATCTATTATTTTTCACTTTATGTTTCTGTGTGGGAACAAACTGTTGAAATCCTTACTTAAGGTATACTAAGCTGATCTTCTGTATACTAAGATAATCGAAAATGAATCTTGATGTGAATGGAAGGGGAGAGGGAGTGGGAAAGGGGAGGGTGGTGGGTGGGAGGGACGGTATGGGGGGGAAAGCCATTGTAACCCATGAGACGTACTTTGGAAATTTATATTCATTAAATAAAAGATAAAAAAAAAATCATAAAAAAAAAAAAAAAAAAAAGAAAATAGATGAATGAGCTGTACAGTGATAAAGCACCATGATCCAACCCTGAAGAAAGCATACGTTATGAGTCACTAATTTTATTTGATCAAGATGTTTACAAATTCTTGAAGTTTTCCTTGTCTCCTAAAAATTAGAGACCAAAATGGTCCCTGATGTTTATAGATGTGTTTCATTTTCATTGTGATACCTATCACTGGCACATCCATTTTCCAAAAGCTGCTTAAGGTGGTAATTAGGATAATTAATCCTAAGAATAAATATTCTTTCATTGAGAAAAATTGATTGTAACTCATTCCTTTAGGTATTACTGAATTCTCTATACACTGTGGTCTTTCCAGTTAGTTTTCAATTACTTTCAAATAAAATGTAATCATATTTATAAAAATATATTTGAGAAGCAGAGTAAGAGACAGAGAACTCCTATCTACTGTGAATTATTTGGGGTTCACTCCCCTAATGTCATCATTGGCTGGGGTTGGGTCAAGCTAAAGCTGGGAGTTCGGAATGCAATCCAGACCTCCCACATGGGTGGCAGAGGCCCAATTAATTGAGTTTTCACCTGCTTCCTTCAGGAATGTCCATTAGAAGGAAGCTGGAATCAGGAGTAGAGCTGGAACTCAAACCCAGGCACTCTGATACAAAATGCAGGTGTCCCAAGCAGCTTACAACCCACCAGACCAAATGCCTGCCCTGTGATTGTATTTTTATATCATGTAGTTATAATTGCAACTATGCACATTTACAGTTATAGTTAGAAACATACAACTAATAATGTAGCTCTAGATATTAATTTTGTGCACATTTTTCAAAATCTTTATGTAGAAAGCCATGCAGCTGAAATAAGTATATTCTCAAGGGCTCTGTACCCATTAAAACTCTACAGAACCATCAAAAACCAAAAAGCATTGCAGTTGCCTAGAGGCATTGTAAGGTTATTGTTTAAATTAAACTTATTTCTTAGTACTTGGAAAAAATAACACAAATCTAAATCAGATGGGTCATTGTGCATTTTAATGAATTTTTTAAAATACAGAAATCTAGTAAAAAATCCCAATTACTATATGATCAATAAAATATAGGAATCCTCAAAAATCTGCTGTTCTATGCTATGGCCACCAACAGATATAACACATTAAAAACATTATGGGTTATACAATGAGGTACAGTCTTAACTCATAGCAGAATGTATGTAATTGCACAGCTTTTTGATTGTATTTCATACTGTATGGTTCTCACTTGCAAACAATTCTGCCTCACTTGCTTTCAAATACTTTCAGAATTAACGCAGTCCAAATTCTGAAGAGTCAATTTTTCAGGATCAAAAATATTTCACTAAAAAAAAAGTCTCACTGGCTTTCACAATACCTGAAATTTCTATCATTAAGTAATTCCTTAAGGATAAGCTAATGGTTTCTTTTTAATCATGAGCATATCATCTGTAAAGGTTAACAAAGTAATATATTGAATTCTTTGTCAATATGGGATTATACTGTAGTATGGGCAGATCCCACTCGTTTCTACCCAATTTTATGTATCTTTGACTAAAAACCAACTCTGTTTCCAGTCTTGCAACTCATCCTTGCTGAGTTACAGTTTCTCCTCAGAGACTAGAATGTGTGTGAAAGATTGAGGAGGCACCCGATACCTGGCTCCTTCCAAGGTGAACAGGCATTGTAAAGTCTGTTAACAAGGCAGAAACGATTAAAACTGATTATCAACTGGAGAAAGAAGACAGTGTGGAAGGAAGCCTTAGACTGCAGATACCAACTCAGGGAGAGCAAACCCAAGTTACATACCATGGTAGAGTGAGAGGCCAAACAACCACATGGACAGCGTGAAAATGCCCATGGCCTAACAGCCCGGAGTGAACTAGAGCCCGGAGAGCAAGACACTAGACGGATCAGGCCTTCAGTTTTGAGCGTTCCTTCAGTAAACATCAAAGATAGAATAGGATTGGGTAGAGGAAGGAGACGGGAGCTAAGACATATTTGGATTTGATAAGACTTGCAGAGGTTAAATCAGAAGGTGGAGACAAGGAGGAGTAGACCCGAGGGAGGGGTGTGAGCAAGAGGGGGGTCTTTGAGGAGACAGTGATGTCAGTGGTACAGGTGTGCATTCAACTTAGACACCCTGTTCTGGCGGGTAAATGCATATTTTCTTTTTACACGGCTGGGTTAAATTACCTCCCCTAGGTCATTCAATTAATCACTTGTAGAGCAAGGAATAGAATCCAGCTCTCCAGGCTCTCATTTCACATCTGCAGCAGGCAAGCCAGCTGCCTTCTTTCTGAAATACTCTTCATTTAAGCACGGGTGTGTGCACATACACATGCGTGCACGCGCGCGCGCACACACACACACGGAGTTGTAAATCAATGAAGTTTTGAGCTCTTCTACAGAAACTTTGCCAAGTTCCTACATTTGTGTGATTTAAAAAGAAGGTAGTTAGTATGTAAAAACACTACAAATTGCTTTCTGGTTTATCACTCATTTAAGAGTTTAACATATCTGTTGAAATTACTTTGATTTCCACCCCCCCAGCCTCCAGATTTTTAGCTATTATTCTGGGGAGCTGAAAAAAAATTAGTTGCAGATCTGAGAAGCAGTGTGTGCATAGCTTAACTGCTGCATGACTGATTGTGTGATATATTGCTCTTTTCACTAATAACCACAAAGCAGGTAGAGGCATGGCAGACTAATTTGGTTTATATGTCCAGCTGTAAGGCTAGACACTGCATCATTCTTTTCAGAAACCAGGGACTTCAGGCATGTGGAACTTGTAGTCATGACAACAATAAACCAGCTTTGAGTCTGAGTTTCAGCTCTGAAACTGCCTTGTCTCCATTACTTCCTGCTCATGACCTGACTTTTCTAACTCTCTGGGGCTGGGGGCTGGGGATTTATGAAAGATCTATTGAACAGAGCTGCAGTATATGTTTAATGCTTAAAATGTCTGGGTTGAAAGTTTTGCTTGCACAGATGGCTGAAGGCTGGAAGGAGGCTAGATCAATCATTATTATGGCTAATGACATGGTTATCAGGGCATCCCCAAAGGTGAGCTGACTTGGAAAAGGGGGAAAGGCAATGTGAAAAAGAGTCACTTGGAGGGATTTCTTTGAATAACATAAACATAACTATAGCAACTAAAATGTTCTTTTAAATAGACAAGGGGAATTTACTGTGATGTGATTCTGAGAGGACTTATCCAAAGGGTGCAATGAAGAATAATCAAACAAAACATAGTGCTCGATTGTGTGTGTTTTAAATTTGAAGAAACAGTTAATAGATGCTCATGGCAAAATCTACATGTGATGATGTTTGTGACCCATGTGTTTAATGGATTTAATAGTGACTGCTTTTCAGAGATAACATAGACTCAGAGACAAGAGCAAGATGCCGGCAGGTTCAGTTGCCTCCAAAAAATATCAGTTGTAAAGTGGAGGAGGTGCCTAACTATACACCATCTCTCAATACTCAGTTGTAATGAGAAAATATGCAATTTGCAGTACAGGGTTGTTAAGGGATGAAATGATAGAGGGAAAAAGTTCAGCTCTGTGCCTAGGAGAAATATTCAAAACCAGGTAGGTGTCAGTGTTGGTCCTGTTGGTACTGCGTCTTGTAGGATTTGGCATTCGTTGAAATCTGCCCTTCATGTGATCATGATGGTAATGTTTGAATTCTGTAGTTTGACAGAGACATGATTATGGAGACTGGGAGACTTATTTTTCTTTTCCAAGAGATGCTTTCTGGCTTTATCGCATTCCCTGTGTAATCTGGATTGTAAGGAGGATAGATAATTAGTAGGGGAGAAAGCAAGAGGTGTGATTTGCCAATATAAAGGATGGCGTCTGGAGACTATTCTGTCTTCTTACTGCCCAACAAGCGAAAAATTCCAGCATCGAATTTGTTTCCCATTGTTTAGTACATTGGCCTCTTCTGTATGGGTACCTTTTTAAAAGCTCCTGTTTTCCATCAAGTTACCCCCGCAAGCCAATAGGCAGAGAAATAAGACACAGATCAATCCCTAGGTGGAAGCCAAATGCTTCCTTTCTTTTCTATATACTGAGAAATTGTATGATTTACTTTTTATAAATCCATTTCATGATTTCATGATCATGTGGTTAAATGTCTTAGAAACCAAGAGGCAACCCAGAGGCCACTTTTTCCCTATGACTTTGCTTAGCCTGGACCACTATCCGGAAATCGGATGCAACTTCAGTCATTAAGTTATAATTCAAGAAATCACAAGCTACTAGCTCATTGTGTATATTTATCTTATTATGAGAGTTAAATGGTGTCACAAATAATTGAAATTCTCTTTGCATTGTTCCCAGACTGGCAGTTACAATTTATAGCAATGTAAAATTATTTTCTGAAATAAATAATTAGATCATATTTTCTTTTAGAAAGTTTATGAGAGAAATAAAGTTTTTTAGCTTCTATATTAGCATGCAGGAGATAACATACCTGTAGAAAAAAGATATATATATATATATATATAACTTTTCTATAGTAACATTAATTTTTGCTCATTTTAATAGATTAAAATTATGGGATAATTAATATGTGAAGATGTAAACACTAACTCATTAGATATTTAAATATATATTTAAATATATAAAGTCTTTACTGCATTTTATCATTAACACATTGCAGAAAATATATAATTGAGTGAATAACTAGTGGATATACAAGTGTCATTAAAAAGTACAATTGCATGTTTATAAAGGACCAATAAAATAGCATTAGGATGAAAACAATATGCTTTAACCCAGAGCAGTCTTCAATAGTTTTTCACTATCTTTTAATTAAATTCAGAGAAAAATATAGCCAAAGACTGGAAGCTTTTCTGTTCTTTCAGGAGATCTTATAATTTCATAAATATTGGTTCTGATGTCTGCAGATTTACTGGGGATTTCTGCAAGCCCAGGTCATTTTTTCCTAAGTTAGACTGTTTAGTCTACACAAAAGATAAATTTTCTGGAGAGCCAAGGTCTTTAAATGTGCCCAGAGGAAACAGTTGTCTTTCTAGGAGTTTCTTCCTAGAATATGTCTGTCTCTTCAATATTGCTGTATTTTTGTTATTGCTCACAAATATTGCTGATAGAGGCATTTCAAGTAAGGGGACTGGAACAATGGGAAAATAAATCTATTCCTTCATATGTAGCAGAAGGCTGATTCATCAAGTGCAGCTTAGTGTTTATGATCTGTTTAACAGGAGAGAGCTCCAGTGTTTCCTGGTGGACTTATAAGAATATTCATAATGCAAAGGCAGATTTGTCCCCTTGGAATTCTCTCTGGAACTCTCTTAAGCACCAGGGCAGGAGTGGTATCCAGGAGGACAAATGCAGACATAGTTAATGTAAATTTTTACTCCAGAGTTTGGTTGCACATTTGTTTTTTCAAGAGATCTAAGTTTTTTCCAACTAATAAGTACAATGAATTAATTGTATAGTTGCTTAGAATGCAAGTTACCCAGTTTACCAACCAATATTCCTAACTGGGGCTGGAACGCAAAACATGTTAATTTAGTTTGTAACAAATTTCCTGCAAATCGAAAGTTTCTAATTGCAAAGATTCATCATAATTCATTGCCAAGATTGGATGCATTATCACTGAGCCAATTTATTTCTCATTTACAGAAATGTATATTATTTAATGTCCATTTATCTTTTGTTTGGAAATAATTATTCTCATATACTCTTACGCTTTGAAAATTTTCAAATGATTTTCTGTTTATTTTTTATTATTTACCTGTATGCTATTATCGCCATTAGATGTGAAATAGAATGTTTCTCCTTCTTTTTCTTCTCATGGACCTTATCTTTTACATATTCTGATGATTCTTGAACCAGTAGCTTAAGGATAGATGCAAAAGTGATGAGAGTCTGATTTCACTCTGGCTTTTATTATCAAATACCCACAAGGAAATAAAGCTTTGATCTACTTCCTTGGAAAGTTAATCCCAGTGATTCTGTGGAGATGTGTGCAGTGGTAGCTACAGGGATATACATCTTTAATCTCCTGGTGTTGAATACTTAATCCAGTTCAGATCTTGGCAAGGAGATTTAAAGAAAGAACAAAATAATTATACTCTTCATGGGCTTTGTTTTCTGGAATGAATATTTGGTAGCTCTGCTTGCTCTTTTACAAGTCAACAAAGATGCTTAAGGAAACAGTCGGGTTTACTCAGAACAATATAAAAATGGGTGATTTCCGTAGTGATCGACAGGTAAATTTAAAGTATGTCCATTAGCTAAGGGCAGTTCAGGAAGGATTTTTATTAATAAGCTTGTTTATCTGAGCAGAAATGAAGATTGAAAGAACATACATTCTTTACAGAGGAATAATTTAGTAAATCTCTTAGAACAGTAACTATTTCTTAAAAGTGCTCATAATTTCACTTTTTAAAAGATTTATTTATTTATTTGGAAGGCAGATATATATATATATATATATAGAGAGAGAGAGAGAGAGAGATTGAGAGAGAGAGAGAGAGAGACATTTTCCAACCACTGGTTCACTCTCCAAATTATCATAATGGCCGGGCTGGGTCAGATCAAAGCCAGGAGCCAGGAACTCCATCTAGGTCTCCTGTGTGGATGACAGAAAGGCATAGTTAGAGAGAGAGAGAGAGAGAGAGAGAGATCTTTCATGTGCTGGTTTACTCCCCAGATGGGAATAAAAGCCAGGGCTGAGCCAGGCTGAAGCCAAGAGCCAAGAGCTTCACCAGGCTCTCCCATGTGGGTGTTGGGGCCTGCACACTTGGGTCATCTTCCACTGCTTTCCCCGGGCACATTAACAGGGAGCTGGATTGGAAGTGGAGTAGCCAGTACTCAACTGGTGCCCATATGGGATGCTGGTGTCACAGGCCAGGGGCTTCACCTGCTATACTGAATGCCAGCCCATTATCGTTTTACTTTCATAAATAAAAACTTCATTAAGTTAGTGTGGGCCATACAATGCCCACCACATTTACACATAACACGGCTTCACTAGAAAATGTTTTAAAATCAAACACACGTTTTTAAAAATACAACTCTATTTTGTTGAGAATATATGAATTAGGCTGAAGCGTATTTATGCTACTTTTATTAGATAATGCATTTGTTCAGATAACATTTATATTTTTCTTTTTTTTTACTGAATACACTTTTTATTATATAGTTTTGTTGGTGAATTTATTTCTTTTTTTTAACTTTTATTTAATGAATATAAATTTC